TGAATGCGGATTGTGCCATACATGTGAAATACTAAGGGATACAGTCAGATCTAAACCAACTCCAGCACATTACCTAACTGAACTTGCACACTTTTTTTCTGTTGCCTCTGGTTATGCTGCGTGTTTGCCCCATTTGTGCATCATCTCGCCCAACATGCTGACAGCGTCAGCCCCAGGCACCAGTCTCACTACAGGACAACAGGTCTGGCCAGGAGTCCTCCTACAGAAAGGCATCAGCCTGTGCCTGACATCTGTCACCTCCCACCCAAGGCTGGGGCAGTGTTCCAAGGAGGTCTGTCCTTCTCTTTGGTTATGCTGAATGTCTACTGAGGGAGGAGAGGAATGGAGAAGAGGCTCTACCACAGTCAGCACGGGGAGGCACTAGGCTCTCAGGCTGCTTCCTAGAGGAGGAAGACCATCTCTACAGCTAGGCCTTGGGTCTTCCTGGCTAGGCAGCCAAGTGCTCCATTGACAAAATGTCCTCTCAGCTGTAACTTCCAATGCTGTCCCCACAGACTCCAGCCTGGTTTTCTCTAACTTTGCTGATGACGAGGACAAGCTTAAGGTTTCATACTTAAACTCAGAATCAAAATGAAACACACACACACACCTAGAGTCTGAGCTTTAAAGTTAGACTGGCTATCTCAAGCAGACACAGAGCTAAAAACTGCAAGGCTGATGTAGAAACAATATTGTGTGGTTGTATTATTTTCTCAATCAAAGGAATATCTGTAGGGAGCAACTATGATTGGAATTAAACTTGCATGCAAAATGTCAGGGCTGAGAAAGATACTGATCTCAGGGTTGTGAAATGAGTCCGGGGTTTGGAAGTGCAAGAGGAAAAGAGTAAACAAGACCAAACACTCAGAGTCAATCAAATGACTGGTCAGTCCTACCCCTCACCATAAAATTAGCCAAGGCCTCGCATGTGTGGAAACAAGATAGATGGAGTCACAGAAGCCAAGAGGCAGAGTCAAAAACTGGGCTCTGTCTCCTTTGCCTCAGTCTGTTGGAAGTTAAGGAACTTAAGAATTTCTCTGCTGGAATCCGTCACCTAATTTTTAGACATTACCTTGTCTGAGACAGCAGTAATGTAAATACTTTGGGATTTCGTTAGATTGGCGTTGTAAATCTTTCATGGTCTGATAAGACAGAACTCCTGATGCATATCAAGGTTAAACAGGTTGGAGCAAGAGCAGGACTGGGGATTACTGCAGTAAAATTTCCCACTGCCAAAGGCTGTTTTCAGAAGATGAGAGCTGCTCTGTCTTCCTGAATATAAACTCTCTTACACTGTGGAATCCATTACACAAAACAAGGTGCTTGTCTTAACAGACATTGTGTGCGTGCTGAAAGCAGTTATCAGATCTCTGATTTAGTCTATAGGAGAATGAAAGAAAATGCTAAAATATTTGCTTGTCTGTGTAAACGTGCTCCTCAGTATGTTACAGCAAGTGACAACTCTTGAGTCACTGGGTATTTCTGTGGTTCCTGTCTGCTTACCATTTCAGGCTGGTGGCCTTAACCTCAGCACATGTAAATTGCTGTGGTTTCAGAAACTTATAACTAATGCCCTTGTAATCAGGAATGATATGGATTATACCAGGGAAGATTTCCTGTGAGGTCGACTTTTGTTCTGTTTGTTTCCAAACATTCAGTTTCTCTTCAGTTCACCCACATGTTTCACTTATAACTGAGAAACACTGTTTATAACTCAATCATTGTTGCTGATTTAAAGCCTACTGTGTTTGTAGGCAGACTTAGTGATTCACTTAGGAGGAAAACCTTAGCCAGATGGCGCTGCTTCATGAGTGACGCTGTTAAGACTTGGAAGAGATCCACGAGCCAGCATGATGACATGGCTGATGGGAGTAGGGACTTCACTCCAAGGAGCCATGATATGTTTAGGGTCAGGACTAGGTCTGTGGTGCATTCAGGGATAGATATAGCCTGCAAATCTACCAGCACTTTTCCAGTGATGAGGCAGGTCCATAGGCAAGCAGAAAAGCCTTGCTGATGCATTCAGGTCTGGGACAAAGCGAATGGAGGCTGAAGATGTGCATGGATGTGTCTGGGATCTTTCTGTGATGGAGGGGGCTAGTGCCATACCCCTAGCTGAAAAGCAGCTCCCAGGGAAAAGCAGGACCAGGTTTTGGCTTCCAGCACTCTTCACCAGAGTTCCTAGTGGAGAAGAGCTGACAGCAGGAACATCAACATGTGCCTTCTTACAGAGAGAAGGAGCTAGGCAGAAGAGAAATTCGTGTTTGGGAGTGAAGCATCTGTGATCTGATTATCCTTCTGTGTTGAACATATTACAAAACAACTTGGCTTAAATTGGGGATATATTTCACAAAAAAATTTTTTTCTGTTTAGACAAGAGCTGATGATCCTGGATTTTCTGGCTGATCGATTGCCAATTGCCAATTATCTCAAATTAATGAACACAATTGTAAATACTAGTCTGAAATACCATGTAAATACTATGTCAGAAACAAAAACATATTTTGCAGAGCTTCTAGTTTAGCATTTACAATAATATTACTGAAGCTTATTTATGATATTACTGGAATTAATTGGCTGTCAATTAATGCTAGTTAAAACAAGATCACAAACTTCTACCTAATTTGAAATTGCACATGTAATGCACATGCACATTCTTTCAATATAAATTAAAGTCAGTAGGACACCAAAACTGACTGTTATAAGTCAGTTTTCAGACCATGCCAAATGTAGGAAGGAAAGAATCAGATGTATCTACCTGATGAAGGTCCATGAGACCACGTCCAACTGTCTTTCCAAGTCATTGCTATTAGTGAGTTGTGGTTGGAGGACTGCTGGGGCATGGTTTTGTAGATACCAGTTTTAAGGCACATCCTGAGCCCCACTCAAAGCTTTCAAATATAGGTCTCACAGTGAATTGCTTTAGAGATGATTAAATGTAATACTTGAGTACCGTATCCATAAGCCTGATCAAATAGCTCACCAATCAAATCTTGAAAAATATCAGCCTTTGTAGTGAGTCACTGCAGTACTGAGAGCCACTTTAACTGGGGAGATTTTAACAACAAATACAATGTTATATATTACAATGAATTACAACTTTATTATCATATACTGCCTTTAGCCAAGTTTGTTTATGATTCTTAAAGCTTCAGAAATTTAGACACCATAGAAAATATATGTTACAGACAATTGAACAGGAAACAAAATGCTTCTCAGCTCCATATTTTCAAAACAAGTGATCTTTTCAAAAGTAAGAAAGCAGCCTCCTTAGATCTGACAAAGCAATATTCTTCCTGTCCTTTGTCCCCACTAAGTACCTGATAACATTATTGTGAATCATGTCATTACAAGAAGGAATGCTGAAATGCATCTGGATCACTGGGAGCCTCTGATGTTGTGGGGAACATGATTAAATAGAAAGCACTACTTCTAGAGCAGCCCTCGTAAAATACATAATATAGTTAGTGTATATAAAGTAACAAAACTTATTTTACTTTTTTAATGCTAATTATTAATATATATTTTAAAAAGAAAGCAACAAAGCCATAAAACTAGTGGAATATGTGACCTTGTTTTTGTGAAACTAATGCATCAGTCCACTTTGATGGCAGTGATTCCAGTCCTCGGAGAGCTCTCAAGTGTTCATCACAGATTTTTGATGAAATTTTACTCTTCCTGTGTTTCGTCCTTGAAAATAATTGTTGACAAATGTATGTACCAGCAGAAAGCAATGATATGAGCAAGGCATGACTGCAAAGTGATTTTCTCTGGTAAAAGAAGGATTATGAAAGTCTGGTAAAGAGACACGATCAAATTTTGAATTGCAACTCTGTGTTTCATTTGAAAATTCACAAGTGATATATTTACTTTGAGTGAAAACGGAGTCGCAAATGAACCAAAAAAAAATGTTGGTTTTTTTTTTCAGTTTTAAAATTCTTTTATCAAAACGAAAAGCACAGCTGCGTATTCTTGCTGTTCACAGGACTGTGTACAGCCAGTGTATCAAAATCCATAAACGTATCTGCCATCACTGTGAGCCGGCACAGCGCGGTGCCCCCGTGGGGCTGATAGCGCTCTGGTGTTCGGTTGGTGCTGAGGGGCCGGGCTGCCGCCATGATGGCGTGGGGCAGGGGGAGGCCGCAGTGCCAGCTGCACTGGGCAGCAAGCATCCTGTGGGCTGCAGGTTGGATGTGTCTGGAAAAAACTCAAAGTCTCCACTGCAAGTTGGGAGTCAGTTATGTGACATTCAAACCAGAAACCACCATCGAATATCAATTTGTGTTACACCTGGTTGATTTTACAATGCTCTGATTTATTCCATGCTTTGTACTTTCTCAAACAAGCTGTCAGCAGTGCACTGCAAGTACAAGAGAAAGGTGGTTTGTAGTTGTTTATCTTATTATGAACTGTTTGTTGCTGTTACTATGTCACTGCCAGGCAGGGCCATTCACATATCAGGCACCATGCTGGGCTCTCCAAGAGCACAATTTTCAGTTCTCCAGCTTCTTCTAAAAACTTCCTTTTTCCTGATTGTCAACTTAAGATGTGCTGGTGGGTGAGAAACAGGAAATGAAAGTGATACAAATCTGAAGTGAAGCTGCCCATGTCAGTAACCAGCGTTGCAGGTGAAACTAATCAAGAAAAACAAGCAAGTGGCAAACTGTGTTCAGGGAAGGAAGTAGTATGGATGGCTCTGGTGCAGTTTTGTGCTTTGTCACTTGCAACAAGAGCAAGAGGTCGTGTTTTGTCAGTGTTATCTTTCTGCAGGCTTCTCCTCTTGGTGGATGTAAAATTCACTTTTCTCCCAACAGGTAAATCAACTTGGTGGCTTGTTTCAGCGTGCTGAATCCATCAAGCCAAAGTTAGAGGATGACCTGTCATGCCAAATCCCACATCAGATCACTCACTTCCTGGTCAAGCCTTGTGATCATTGAGAAGACTAATCTCTCTGCTTTTAAATTAACTCTGTTATTTTGCTGTCAGGTACTGCACCAAGCATGGAGAATGACCAGTTCACTGAGAAGCAGCAGCAGGTTCCCACGTCACCTAGGCAGGACATCCAAGGGCAAAGCAAGGAGGAACCTGTCCCCAGCTCGCAGCCCCTGTCCCCCACAGACCAAACCAGCACCCATCCTGAGGTGGCCACGTGTGACATCTCGGAGGAGCTGAGCCGGCAACTGGAGGACATTATTAAAACCTATGGGTCTGCAGCCAGTTTGATGGAGAAGGAAGGCACTACAGCAGGAACTGAAAGGCCGGAGAAGGGAGATGCAGGCAGTATGGAGGATGCAGAGTATGAGGATACAAATGAAGAAAGTGAGAAAGACAAACCAGCTCCTGGAGATGCTTCAAGAGCAAAGGAGCCCAGCACCAGCAAGGAACAAAAGCTGGAGAAGAAAATACTGAAAGGACTAGGCAAGTTCTTATGTACTTACATAGTTGCTCTGCTAACAGAGGTAAAACCTCCTTGGACTTCACTCTTTCCCTTGTTAGGCCACTGCTATGGCTGATAGGGACCACTAAAAACTACAGTGACTGTTATAACTTTTCTAATTGATAAAAATTGTCAGCAGTTACCCAAAAGATACAGTAGGCTTTATCAGACATTAATCCTTGTACAGGGATGAAAGCTTAGGATTTTATCACATGGCTGATAGACTAATGGTCCACCCAAACTAGTGGCCAAAGCTGCAAGTCTGAAGACACGCTGAACAGTACTGCTTCTTAGACAAAGGGACATCTGATCTCTTGTTTATGCCCCTGTACATTCATTTATTTTCCTACTTCCTCAGGTATGATTTCTTACCGGTCATAACTGTGCTAATGGTGCTACTACGTGGAGTGGCCAAGAGGGAAATTGTAGAACAAATTCAATGTGTTATATTTTATTCAGCAGACTCATCACAGACTGTTTGCAATAAATCAGTAAGCTTGTTCTCCCTAAGCATAGCCATTGGTCCTCTTGGCCACTGCAGGATCCTCTTAGCTGAGCTTAAAATCCTTTCTACTGGACAGCCACTAGAGAGCAATGTAGCTGCATCCCAGCCTAGCAAACGTGCAGTTTGTTTCCACTTATACATAACTTCCACTCTTTTGACTCTTTTCTGCATGAGAACTCAAACCCAACAGTATTCTAATCCTACAGAAAAATCACTGCAGAGTGCACTTAGAGAAACAGGGCTCTTTTTCCAGATTCCTTGGACGTCCGTGTAAAGTACAGTTCCCCTGTTCCAATATCCTTGGCTGTGGTTCGCTTGTTGGTACGTCTCCAAGATGAGTGGAAACACTACTAAAGTACAGTTCTCCAGCTGCACTTGCAACAGTTTTTACTCCATGATCGATTATAGCTCCTTTGAATTTATTTGTACCAGTGCTATAGGGATAATTTAGTCTGAAATAGTGGATTTTCTCCACAAGTAGTACTTCTGGGCTGCACTATACTTGAAGTAGAAAGAATCTGTCCTAAAGATGAAGGTGAATTTTCCCTCCCAGGCTTTTGGGAAGAGGTACATATGGAAAAATATGTCCAAGCCATCCTCATGTACCACAGCCATCCTCAGCTCCAGGGAAGCCAGGGACATTTTTATTCTAAGAACAAGCAGTACTCAAGCTCTAGCTCAAACTGAGGGCTGAAATGAATACCAATAAGTATCAGCATGGAAGCAATACATGACTGTCTACACAGCCTATCATCACAGATTTAGTGATGTATGCCAAGATAATTATTAGACTGTCTCTGGTATCAGTATTCGTTACACCAACTCAGGGAAATGTTTTACACCACTCTCAAACCTGGCTATCCGAGTAGGGGTTGAGCAGCACAAGAGTATCCCAGTTTCTGTCAGTTCACTCCTGCAAAGGAGTTACATATGTGACCCAGTCACGTTACAAAAATATTAAACAAAAAAAAAAAAAAGATTATACAGGAAAAAGTGATTTCACTTGCCAATAATTTTTGCTGGAAGAAAATACATTACTGAGGTACGAAATGGGAGCAAATTCAAGCGTGCTTGTTCTTACTGGCAGAAAATAAACAAGAGGAATTCACAGTAAAGATGGTCCCCTTCCTTCAAAAAAGCACCCCTCTCCTCCCTGAGTTCATTTGTAAAAAATGAATATACTAATTCATGCATAAAAACAAACACACACAACAATTTCGTAACAGTATGTCAGCTACAAACTATCTCTACCATCAAATCTCTGCTTCTTTTCAAGGAAAGGAAGCCACCCTACTGATGCAAAGCTTGAACAAGCTGAATACTCCAGAAGAGAAACTGGACCTGTTATTTAAGAAGTATGCTGAGCTGGTGAGTGCAGCACAGGTTCTCTCCTAACTGTTTAGAGAGGAACCCATAAACACACACCATTCAGCACAGCCCAACCTCACCTAGTAGAAGCATCTGTCCTGTTAACTTATATAGAAAAGTAATTGTCGGGGTTAAAAAATGTCTTATGAGTGAGAGAAGGGGAGGAGTAAAAAGTCAGGAAAACAATCTGGAATTTGAGTTAGATTTGGAAAGGGCTAAAAAACTGATAAGACAATAGTTGTACTTAAAGATAAATCTGTGTAAATATTTATGGCATAAGGAGGTATAACTGAAAGCATGGAGTCACTGGGATGCTATATAGTCACAGCATCCAAAAAATGTCTTTATTAAATCTGTTTATTCACTTTTATTCTTAACATGTCTTTCATACATTTCTACATACATTTTAATACTGTGAGCATAATTCTATTTTTCAGGGAGAAGATGATTTTATTCTAATCCTCTAAAAATCTCTCCCTTCTTCAAGGGATGTATGTTTCTTCTCTTGTTAAAACTGCATTCATTAAAAGATTATTCACAACTATTTTAAACTAAATACCCGTTTTATGCATCTCTACAGTATTCACTGGTGTTCATCAGATCTTCATGTGACAAATATTGGAATAGTGTGATTAATTTTTAATCCATAGTTACCAAATCTGTTTAGTTAGGTAAGTTAAAGAAGATGCAAAGGAAAAAAAGAAAAAGGAAAAAAAAAAAAAAAAAAAAAAAAAAAAAAAAAAAAAAAAAAAAAAAGAGCTATTATTCTAGTGGCATGTTTTGAAAAAAAACAGTCCTTTTCTTTGCACACACATCAATCCTTACAGTAAATCTGCCTTTCTTGCTCAGGCCATAGGGATGCAACAGGCTCAAGTCCTCCACAACCTTCATGCTGGCACTCAGGCACTGCCAGTATGTCCAGATAGCTAAAAAAGACGGGATAGATTCCTTCAATAGGTTAAAAAAAATGGACCTATGGAACTGTTTTACACTACCACACCAGCCCATGCACTGGAGATGAGCTCAAGCTCAAAGCACCTCAGAGTGGCAGGCACTCCTGCTTTCCTTTTCCGCAAGGAGCCCTGCATACCTCTGCATACAGGCGTTCCTTCACCTTGCATATCACTGATCTGATCAAACTGGAAACAACATGCAGTATGAAGTGTCAGAGTGTAGAAAATCAGAAAGTAGAGAATTGAAGCCAATCATCAGAGAAACCAAAGTATAGTGAAATTAACAGTAAAAGCCCCTGAACCATAATGCTACACCTGTAATGATGACCTGACTCCCCTTCTCTGTTCTCTCCACAATGAGGATGGGTTAGTTTCAGATAAAGGATTTTCTTCTCAGTAGTTAAAGGTCTCTATGTTCTTAAGCAGTGAAAATCTCACATGTGAAATGGCTGCAGCATTTTACAGTTTGCGGAGACTGAAAAACATGCCAAGCAGAACATTGACTTTGTAATTGGTTTTATGCACAGCTGTGTCCATGTCTCATCATAATGTGATGTTCAGCTTTCCTTTTTTTCCGTGTAAAATTCTCTGATTTCATAAATTGGACTCTGGCAGTTTATAATTGAGCCCTTGCCTAAAGGGACTTTGTGCCCACAAATTAACCGAAACAGGATTTCTCTGATGTACTCTCCATTGCATTCGGGCATTGTTGGAGCACTGAACACATTATGGCCCACATTGCCAATAACCCATGAAGGAGAAAGGAACTAAAGCAAAAATGCATTCAGTTTTGACATCCTGTGCAATGTCACTAGAATAAATCCTTTAATTAATACAACTCAAGGCTTGTGGGAAAAACCCTTACACTACTCACTCAGCACAACTTGTTAGCAGCTACCATTCTGTTTGCTCCCTGTTGCCCATCTCCATCACACACTTCAGGTCACTTTTTGCTTTTGCTGAGTTATCTTCCAGCTGTATCAGTTCCCTGGTCCAGTTAATCATGTAGTGATGTGAGCACTTCTGCAGCACAGCTCTGGGGAGAGCAGCACTGTGCCAGGCTGAGTGAGCTGGGTGCTGGCCATGGCTTCAGAGTATGAGGTGATGCTGCTGGCTCTGACTGAAGATGCTGCTCAAATGTAGGGACACAACATAGCACTATGTCCCCACAGTCACTCAGCTATCTGCTATTTAAGTGTTAGCACATGCTCTGGCACAGCCTATCATGAGGAGTACATGCAAAAATGGATGGCATCAGAAAACAGTGTGGGATGCATCCCTGCTGGTATGAATGAGGCCATACCTACAGGGAGGAAAGCAACTGAACTGTTTGGACATAAGCTGTGCCCTACTACTTGCCACCAGAGAGCATTTTATCTGCTCATTCTGATGCAGCCAGAGTGGTTGGAGCTGGTAGAGAAGACTGTGCTTTATTTTAGCTTTTGCCTACAAACAGTCATTATGGAATTCCACGTGAATGCTTTGTTTTCAGAAATCCTGAGTGTCTCTCAAGTTCTGGGTGCAACTATACACTGATACATAGACACGAGTATTGCCAGGATACAGTGGGGTCATAATAAAACTGCTTTTTTCTTTTTCTTAAATTGAAGTTTGTCTAACTAGGTCAGCCATCAAAAATCATAATTCCTTCTACCTGAAGTGAATTTTAGCTGATATTTCATTACCTATTTTTAAAAATTCATCTGTGGTGCTCTTTTGTCATTCCTATTTACCAGTGAATTTCCTTCTTCAGTACAAAAGTAATGCCACATCCTAGATATTTCTAAGAACTTTCAAACCTAAGTTTCTAGAGGTAGGCATTTTTAATGAAAACAACAACAACAAAAAACAAACCAAAAGATGCTTGGAAGCTTCTGGTATCGTGATTAAGAGCTATTTCACTCTGAATCCCCTACCTCAAACACAGCTTGAGCAAGTCATCTTAAATTAGGACAGAGCATTATCTGCTAAGCACGGGCTGCACATGAAAAATGTGAAGAAAAAGAACATTTTTTTGTGTTTTAAAAGGGAAGAAAAAGGGGCCAAAATCAAGCTTATGAAGGAAAACATGTCTTTAATTACAGAGAGGCTATTTTTCCCTACAATACTAGAAGAATTATTCCGACTTGATTAGATGTAGAGGCCTTTATTCCAGGGTAAAAATACACAGAACTCATGCTGAAAGTTGAGCATAAATTGTAAATGTCCTCCAAGCTGGTGATTGCTTTGGTTTGTGGTATGACTAGCAGTGATGTGATTGATAATACGCAGAGCTCCATACTATAAGCATAAATCACAGAACATCTGCAGAAAACAGATCCTTGGGCAGAGAAAGTGCTACATATTATTCCTGCCATCTGTCTTGTCTGAGCTTCACATCACTTCTCTACACTCATAAACTTTCCCAGTCATACTGGGGTTAATAATCAGTACCAGCAGTATCATATTGTTAAATAATGTGCCCTAATAGCAACTATTATTATTAAGGTTTTCATATTGTAGCTCATGAGTAACTGGAAAACATCCGGATTTTAGGAACATCTCTTAATAAATACATGCCTGTAATAGAGAGAAGGGTTGCTGCAGGTTGGGGTGGAAGAAGAAATCATCAAAAGCTTCAGAGGTGAAATGCTTCTTGGACATTTCTGTTACAGTGTTAACTTGCAGTACAGTAAGTTTGTCCAACAGCCAGTAACAGGCATGTGTTAGAGGGAATGACCGATCTTTGTGGAGCTGCTATCGGCAGTTCTGATGCTCCCTCTCCTCCCACCTCCAACATGGTGCTCCCCTCCAGCCCTTTGGGCAACACAGGTCCTACACATCTGCAGAAACAATTGCCAGGCTTTATACTCCTCAGAATTTAGGTGGAGCCAAAGAGCCAGAAAGAGGTTTGATTCCCTGTAACCCATCCCCATTGCAGGGGCCTTCAGAAACACAACTGACGGACAATCCATGAATGAGAGGAGACTGGCAAAGAGGAGGGGAGATGCCCACTGGATGTTCAGGGGAAATTCTTCCCTGAAAAGCCTTGTCCTGGTTTGGCTGGGGTTGAATAAATTTTCTTCCTAGTAGCTTGTAAAGCACTGAGTTTTAGGTTTTAGGATGAGAATAGCATTGATAACACACCGGTGTTTTCAGTTGAGCAGCACTTGCAGTAAGTAAAGGCCTTTTCAGCTTCCCAAACTGCCCTGCCAGCGAGGAGGCTATGGTGCACAAGAAACTGTCCCTGTTTCAACCCACAAGTTCTGGCACTTTTCAGTTTTCTTCTCCATCCCACTGTGGGGGTTAGTGAGTGAACAGCTGTGTGCTATGTAGCCTCCCACAGCGTTAGACCACAACAGGTCTTCTGCTTCCAACGGCAGCTAAGCTTTTGCACAAGCTCTTTCCTTGGTTTCCCATGCTTTTTCTGCTGGTTTTTTTTTTTTTTTAACAGTTTTCTGGGTTTCTAGGAAATCTGGGAGTTCTTTCTCATGAAGCTGTAAAACAGAATGAGCAGCTATTGAGTTATCTCATGATCTAGAGAAATCTCACTGTGTAAAGAGCTACCGACTGCTCCAGTTCTTAAAATTACAACAAAAATAAAATCTCACAGCTTCCCTTCAGATAAATTCACTTTCTTTTCTTTCCTTCTCCTCTCCACTTGTTTTAATTCCCATTCCCTGCCCAGCTTGAGGAGCATCGTGCTGAGCAGAAGCAGCTCAAGTACCTGCAGAAGAGGCAGGCCCAGATCACCAAGGAGAAGGATCAGCTGCAGAGTGAGCACAGCCGAGCCATCCTTGCTCGCAGCAAGCTTGAGAGCCTGTGCCGGGAGCTCCAGAGGCACAACAAAACCCTCAAGGTGAGTGTTGGCTACATCAAGGTACCCAGCAGAGATTGAAGAAGGTACCAATGCCTTCTCACCTCATGCTTCAATACCAAATTGTAAGCAAACTCTAGACAAATAACGTATGCTCAAGTCTTTATGCCTGTTTACATCAAGGCCCTTCTTTTCTTCCTTTGGAAGTGTCCAAGTGCTTCTGAATGTTGAATGTGTTGTAGTTGTTCTTCGAGCATTGAGTTCAACTGGGGCTGTTCAACCTGGGGAAGGTTCAGCAGGGATCTCATTAATATCTATAAATACCTCAATGGAAGTGCAAAGACGACAGAGCCACGCTCTTTTCAGTGGTTCCTGGTGCCAGGACAAGAATTCACGGGCACAAACCACAACACAGGTGGCTCTGTCTGAGTGGGTGGCCACAACCTGGTACAGTTTGCCCAGAGAGGCTGTGCAGTCACCTCCTTGGAGATCTTCACAAGCTACCTGGACAACCTGCTCTGGGTGGCTTGAATAGGCAAATGGGATCAGGCAGTCTCCTGAGGTCCTTTCCAACCTCAGCCAGTGATCCTGTGATTCCAGTCTCACCAATGTTAGCTGTAAGTCCTTGTCATGTTACCAGGTGGATCAGCAAAGGGAAAACTAGTAGTGCCAACAGGCCAGTTATGCCACATTTGCTGGGGCAGATCACTCTTTCCCTCCCAAAAGGGTCATTCACCCAGATCCAGGCCTGGCTGCCACACCAACTTTCAGTCCAGCTTCAACACGCTGGCATGGAGGATGGAGAAGTGGAGTGGAGAGTGGAGAAGACCACTGGAGATGGGTGTTTTTTAAGCTGCATCAGGTCTTACAGAAAGTATCTTCTCAGATTCCCAAGACTGCAAATGTGAATGCATGTGTGTCATCAGAGAAATACGAACACCAGATTTGCTACACAGGACTCATAGAAATCTGGCAGCTGTTTTTGCATTATTTGAGTACTCAGGCATTTTCAAGTGATCTGTGATATCTGTCAATCAGGACACTTGTTTCAAGACATCAGTCTTCAAGAGAGTAAGGATGCTGACACTGCTTGTGAAAGCTGCCTGGATTATGAACACCAGTTCAAAATGGAAATGTTCAGGAGTGCCAAAAGGCTAGGATCCATGTATCACACCTGCCTACCCCTTGGTGCATCATGCCATTTAAACGTGAAATTTATAATATGACTATTCTTGAAAAATTTTACGTTCAGAAAATACATTTCTGTTGTGATCTTACTTTTTTACTTTGAGTGAATGTCAGTGACAGTGGCGTCATACAAAAAGCTTCTGCTTTGGTCTATTAAAAATCCTTCTTAATGGGGATATAATCATCTGTAGTATTACACACATGAATTCTCAGCAGCAAGAATCACACCTCATATAACCTCTATCAACAGATTTCTACTCATTTTTACCAACTCAGAAGCAGGCCTTAAGGATCTAACCTCAACTTTTATTGTATGTTGATAAGAATGTATCTGTGAGAGGGAATGGCAATGTCTAAACAGATGCAGTGCATGAGTAGGTGGATGGCAGTTTAATGGATAGGCAAACTAGAAGCAAATCTGCTGGCACTCAGTCATGGTAGCTCGAAACCATCACTTAAATTTGTGCCTGCCATTCGTACAAAACCTCAGTATCAATCCACACTGATCTACCAAACCTTCTTTGGGAAAATCTCTCAGTAGAAATATAAACCTGCTTTGGAGTGATCTAAGACTTATAATTTATGACTTAAGATTTATGTCCAAGGCAGTGGAAAACTGAGGTATAGAGAAAAACTGATTATATTCAGAAAACATATTTGAAACTGGTTTTCTTGAATGACTTGTACTATCTTCCCAGCTGCCATACGCTTACTAATCACTCTATTAGAGAATATCATCTTTCATTTCAACTTGCATATAGTTTATAATGCAATTCATCTCTACATTTAGAAAAATCTCTTTCCAACACCTTCACATCTGGGGGGCTGTTTTGCTTTGTGACGGTGTCTCTGGAATAAAATCATCAATTTCTCACTCTGTTCTGTTTTTTTCCCCTGTAGCTATGCCAGGGAGGCAGGAAATGCCCAAACCAATCTTTCAGTAAGAAGTGTCCAAATTTTGGCCACTTCTCTCTATGGAGCCAGAAAACTTTTAGGAAACACTGAATATTTTTTTTCCTCTCATTCCTGCCTTTTTAGCATTTAAAAATAAAATAAAATAAAATAATAATTAAATAAGTCAGTATGACAATATATTTGCAGAATGAATTAGGATTGAATTAATAAAAGAAGACATTTGATGTTTTTCTCTGTTTTTGTCTCTAACAATTTTAAGACAGTTCATGGAATATTTGCCTTTAGGCTTTACCTTCTGGAGATCTGTCTTCTGATGAGTCTCCAGAATCTCATCTTCAGTTTATTTGAGTGTAATTTTCTTTTGCTTATGACTGTACTGAGAGGGCCTAAAACAGGAGAATCCACAGTGTGTTATTCTTAAAACTTCATGCTTAAGTAATTTTTATTTTGGCTTTGGCAGAACAGAGAAATTGATTCATAATTTTTTTTTTAGCTCTTGGGATTAGCACTTCTGATTATGTTCCAAAGACTGGAAAATAAAAATTGTCAGAGATTGTATCATTTTAATAGCAAAGGAGAAACCTGGCTTGCCCAGATCACGAACGTCCTCTGACTTGCCATGTGGCGCATTATATGCACATCACGTCATGTAAATGTCATCTTTACTCATCTGCTGTGTGGAGCTCCCATTAATTGGAGATTGGTGCAGCCAAGTGGCGATGAATATGCAATGCAGAGCTGCACTGAAAATCCACAGTGCATCAGAGATGATAATTGCTGGCTAGTGTTGGATACTGGCCTCAAAATTTCACTTACTTACAGTCCAGCTATTCAGATTATTTCTTTGCTGTTGCATTTCACAGCAGAAAGCAGATGTTTAATTCTCCCTCCAAGAAAAGCAAAATAAATGTTCAGAAAATAACAGAATATATTCCCACTGCAATGGAGAACAGCTCTGCTATGAGCAATAGCAACTCATTTCTTTGCATTGTGTTCATGTTCTGCCAATTATCTGACAGTCTGGTGGCTACTTAATGTCTTGTAGTGACATAAATCTCTCCTGTCCTTCCTGCTACAGGCATTAAGCAATGACTTTCATAGAAATGTCACAACAGTCAACAGTTTTGATTATGGGTTTGGCTCTAAACTGCAGACCTGAAGCTCAGACCGGGCTGCCTGGGAGTGAGTAGAGCTCACTGAAAATGTGGAATCTGCAGTAACATCGTTTCTGCTGATAGGGCTTCAGCAGATTAACAGTTGTCTTGATTTGTCCTAGAGAGAGATAAGGACTAGAGATGACATTGCACTTCTATTTGCAGATTATTTCACATTCCAGCACTAAATCCAAACTACAGAATACCTTTGTCTTAGTTTTACAGTTTAATTTTAGTTTAATTCAATGCATTTTTACATTTTTAGCAGTAAAACACTGGAGAGTGATAGCAGTACTGCTATAGGACACAAGAGTATACCTTGTATAGGGCAGATAGTAAGAAGATTAAGGGCAGAGGAAAGGGAACAATAGTTTAAGTCTGGATTTTAGTCTTCCACAAATGGAAATCAAAAAAGAATTTACAATGTTGTTTTTATTTGTTTTTCTCATTAGAACTGAATGCCTAATTTCAAAGTGTTTAAAGATTAAACAGAGTGTGACAGTGTGGTTCTCGCATCATTATAAATTCACCATGGTGATGCCAAGAACTCACTGCCCCAAATACACTCTTCTCTGCTCCCACAACCAAGCAAGGCAGAGGCACTGGGTTCCACACAGTTACTAGGGCTGTAACAGCAGTAAATGAGGGCAGTCTTCAGTCCTCCCAGATGGGGACAAACTTCCTTTTAAAGGAACTTCTTAACAGTGTGGAGTCTTGAAATGGGAGAGATTAAGGCACCTACTGGAAAAAAAAAGGCCACATTATGGGGCCAAGTCTAAAGAAAGAGCTGGGGCTGTAGCCTTGTGATAATAGTCTGGGTGATGCTGATGGCTTGAGGCTATCAGACTGGGCCTGCCCAAGTGAGGAGATGAAGAGGAACAAACTCTTGAGGCAGAGCCCATATTACCTTAAGGTAATAGAATCTAGAGTCATACAGGAGTGGCAGTATTGCAGGCAGCTCAGTGGTACAGCACAGCACCGGGCACAGAGAGCTCTTGTTTCCCTGGCACAGGGACTCCAAGGAGCCTTGTGGGGCACACCCTAGCTCCCACAGACAGATATCTTTTGGCTTGTTCTCCAAAGGAGAAGAGGTCAAGATAAATATTCTGCAGTGCATCAGGAGGCTTCTTGGTTTTCGGTATCCTTAACCATGAATTTTTGCATTCTGCATGTACTCTTTATAATTATTCAACTCAGAAGGAAGGATGAGCAGGATGCAATATTCTCTGTGTAACACATCCCCTTTTCTTAAAATATATATATATTTGCATGATTACTACTCTCAAGATATCTAATTTCACCTCATAACAGAGTTGTTAGTGTGACTTACGCGCAAGACACCAGTTTTTCATTTTACATTCAGCTGGATTTATTACTTCAGTTTTAAAGAGAGATTTAAACAGAGTTTTAAATCAGAGCAATGACATTATGCTATGACACTGTTTGGTCCATTAAAACAAAAAAAATATTTTTGAAGAAGGATGTTTCAAAGCCATGGAAATAAGATTCCAGACATACAAGTTTAGTTTCTCAGTCTGCCTTTGACTTCTTGAAGGGAGGGCACCTTGTTGCTTTTCTCCCTGCTCAGGGCTGCACCTACGCCATAGAGAAGAAAGAGCCATGAGCAGTTTTTAAACAGCATATGAGAGGTAAAACAAAGTTCTTATTTAACTAAATCTATGAAGGAACTCAAGTTTTTGTGTTCAATTTTGACACCAGGTTTTGAAGCACGAATCCCGTACCCCTGAGCCATTGCCCAGTTCACTCTATAATTCCACCTCTTCTGAGTGGAAGCCCTTCTGGAGTCACACTTCGCTGTATTCTGTTTGTGAGCACACACACATGTTCTTGTGTAAAGTGCAGAGCACAAACAGGATTTTGGAGTGATTTCTGCTCATTATTGTATAATTAGCAGATGGCTCCAACAGTTTTCCTCCTGTCATCCAAGGCATTGTCATCTCTATAACATCCTGGCAGCAAAAGGACAAATGTCCTCTACCTTGAGCAGCAGTTGTTCAAGATCACTCTTGTGATTTGCATGCTAAGTAGAGCTGGGGCATAGAGCTGGGGCACTTGGTATTCAACTTGCTTTAAGAATAGGACCTGAATCAACACCCTTTCTGTCACATTTACGATATAAATTATACCTCACTCGAGTCAGCAAAAGCTTTATTCAGATGTATTTACAGAAAATTTGCATATGCAGTGTTATCAGAGACTTTTATGTAAATGAATAGCTGAAATAGTCGAAACCTTATTAGAGTGTGCCATTTGCATGCTGTGGAGAGATTTCTTAAAATGGTTCTGGCATGATTTGTAACAACAGTAGATACGATACCAGCCATTTTGTATGAGGATTGCATTCTCCATCAGGGCAGGCTGCCCTGGAAGTAAACAAGCGGGAAATAAAATTGTCCATACTTTGTGATTGAAAGCAATGAATCTAAATTATTTCCCCATTCTCTTTCATAAATAAAACGAAATCCAAAACAGAATTGCAATAACTGGTGAAAACATAATCCATCAATCTTTCTCCAAGCCAGGTTCTGATTCTCTGCTTTGATTCCTGGAGAGCCAGCCCACGATCTTTCTTTGATTCTACCCATTCCAATAACTGTCAGTTAGAAGGTAAGGGAAGGAGGAGTGCAAAGGAATTCTACAGAAAATTATCCCTCTTGAAAAGTGGAAACCTCAAATTCCATAAACTTGATACGAGGATTTCTAGTTAAAAGGATGCGTTTTAAAGAGTGAATTTTAAATTAAATAAAAAAGAAATTTGATAAAAGGGCTTTCAATGACTTTCACTAAATACCTTATTCCAAAGCAAAAGCTGTGCTGCAGTTTCATGAATTAAGGCATGCATGAACATCCCCTTTTCAGGGATTGCTTTGATCTGAAACTGTACTTTACATCCATCTTTACACATGCAAATTCTTAGTTCTATAATTTTTTCAAGACCACTGTATAATTTGCTCTGTAAATTTAGCATCATGCCTAATGTTGGAGCACATGAAAGCAAGAAAATCTCTGAAGAGGAATATAAACACAGATAATCCTTCAAAGAGTAGCCTTGTGCTACTCTGAAACAGTTCCTTTTGGAACCGCTTTTATTATGCATCTTACTTACCCTGTCTTCTCTCCCATTTGACTACAGGAGGAAACAATTCAGCGGGCACGGGAGGAAGATGAGAAGAGGAAAGAAATAACAAACCATTTCCAGGGCACGCTGAGTGAAATCCAGGCTCAGATTGAGCAGCAAAGTGAGAGGAACATGAAGCTCTGCCAGGAGAACACAGAGCTGGCAGAGAAGCTGAAAAGCATTATTGACCAGTATGAGCTGCGGGAAGAGGTGAGCATTGCAATGCCCACGGGGACCAGCAGCAAACCCAGCTCCATGGAGGGAAGTGGAAAGCACTCTGAACATGTCATCCCCACTGACCATCATTTGGGCATCTCATGGGTAGCTTCTGCTGTGCTTTGCTGTCCAGTTGGGGCTCTACATGCATCAAGCCAGCAGGATGCCACATGGAAAATGTGGGTGAAAAGCTGACCCGATGGCACCCTGCATGCAGTACTCGTGGCAGCTCTAATGGTGGTGGGGAAAGGGATTGAGGTTCTCATGCAGCAAGATGGCAAGCTGCCTGCTAATCTCTACCCCCTTTCACTCATTGCTCCCCCCAAATCCCAAAGGACTCCAGAGTGCTCACTGAGCACCTCCCAGTTCTATCTTTTTGGACAGCCCAGCCCACTGCCAAATGTACTTCTGATCCCCCCAGACACAGGTTGCTGAGGGACCCTTCCCCAGAAACAAAGCTAATAACCAGGGTAAAGCAGGCCTTTTGCATTGGAATAGACTCCTCTTTGCAGGAATAACGTTTACAGTAAAATCAAGTAGATAATAGATGAATTGAAAATTACATCTCTAAATATAAACATTAGAGCAGTTCAGAAAATTCCCAAGCTCCCATTTCTGTGGTGATTTTATGACAAACACTAGCACATATTGCAGTGGGTCTTTTTATTGTTTCCAAATGTGCTTATTGTGTGGCTCAGTGCAACCAGACAACATTATCATACTGAATAAAACATGAGTAACCTGTCCTCACAATCTGGAATGCCCGATGCAATACACTAATTTCTAAATCTGTTGCATCTTGTATGAAATCTTGCACTGAATGAAGGAAACGTGCATTCCTGTCTTATTGTTTCTATGAAAGGAAAATGTAAAGCAGAAGGATGTGCTCAGAATATTGAGTTCTACCTAAACGCAGCATCAGTGAAGAGTGCAATCAGCAACACTCACCTCCTGAAAGTCACTGCGGAGAGAGAAGTTTTACAGGCCATAGGAGACCTCTGGCACATCTGTCCCACATCCCCTCTCATTTACCCAAGCACTCCAAGCCCACATTATCTATGTGAAGCCAGATCAAATGGGGTGTACTAGGCATATATATACAATAGGAGCTGCACACGCATTCCCTAAGAACTGGAGGTGCAGCCTGTCATCACACATTTACCCACACAATGGCTTAGAACCACAGGCCACTTAGCAGGTCCAAAAAAAAGTGCATCCCCAACATATTTGTAATTGATGGGCAGCTTTATAATCTACAACTATATTGGATTATACAGATGACTTTATACGCGTATTGTGGAACTGGAAAAGATGCTAAGGGTTCGTTGTTGTTTTTGTTTTTGTTTTGTTACCCATCAAAATAGATGATGTAAACACATTTCCTTTCCTATGCAAATTCTGGCACAGTTTGTTCTTATCAGCACCATGGCTTTTTTGTAACTGCAGTGGGTTGGGAAACTTCCTGCTTTGCAATATTTTTGTCTTCTATGTGTCCCAGTAGATAGCTATGCATGCATGAGCATGAAGGTCTGTGTACACAATTAAACCTGCACATTCAGCAGAATTTATTCTCTTGCAGCACCTTGACAAAATATTTAAGCACAGAGAACTTCAACAGAAATTGGTGGATGCCAAGTTGGAGCAGTCTCAGGAAATGATGAAGGAAGCAGAGGAGCGACATCAGAAGGAAAAGGAATATGTACTTATCGTGCTAATCTATCTGTCTTTTACCTAACTGAAGGTCAAGATGAGAGCTGCATAATATTTCAGTAATATATTGGTTATTCTGGTCCAAGCCATGACACAGGAGCAGGGTAGCATAAGACAAGGATTTATTACTTCTGATAGTGCTTGATGCAAAGCAGTAGCATCTGAAAGGCTATTTTCAGGAGCATTTATAGATTTTGAAGATTGTGAGCAGTAGGTTATAGCACAGACTTCTCCAGCAAACTCACCACTACTGCTCTGCTGATTTGTCACGATGTGTCAAATGATGCCATCAGTTTTTTTCAAAGGCTCTGATATTTGATACTCCATCTCTTCACATGGTAAATGATCACATTTAAACAAGCAGGGTTTGTGCTTGTGATTGAATCAGTTGAAGGCCAATATCCCACCAGGCTCAGAGTCTCCCCAGTCAACCTTCTGTGTGTCCAGTTTTATAAATGGAGGTGACCAGGAGCTGATGCAGTCAAGTCCACCTTTTGGGCAGTCCTGTGTGAAACCAGGAGTTGGACACAATGATCCTTGTGGGTCTCTTCCAATTCTAGATATATATTATACGTAATATATAATATTATATATTATATATATCTATATAATATATATAGATATATATTCTGTGATTCTCTTCTGCAGAGCCTCCCTCTCCATGTTGGTTCAAAATGTACTTCCTCAGGCTGCCTAGCATTTTCACAACTACCTAACATCTACCAACATTCTTCACTGGCACACAGATCCTTTTCTCAGCAGTGGCTGCAGCCAAGGCTATGCATAGGGAAGTTCCAGGCTCTCAACAGCTGAAAGAAAGCTGTAGTCCCTAGCAATCCTCTGACTAGCTCAGGAGTTGCATCAGAGAACTCTGAGAGGATTTTTATTCCATCCCCATGTCTGGAAAGAGATGTCATCTCCATCTACATACATACAGGAGTGGGAGATTTCCTTTCTGGCTTTGCTGAACATATGACTGGCATCTATGAAACAGCAGATTCAAAAACAAGCTACAAAGCCTTTAAGCTGTGGGTGTATAATGAGATGCATTGTGTTCAAAGACTTTTTTCACACTATTGAAGCTAATGCTCAAAAAGACTTGCCTTAGAGGGAGTCAGGTGATATATTAGTAACATCACTTTGGAGCAAGGTAGCTTTAGCTGGAGAATATAAGTGATTAGCCAAAAGCCATGCAATGAGTCAAGGCATAATCAGCACATCCTAATTCATCAGTCAGCCCAGCACCCAGATAGCTGGCCTACACTAGTCTCCCACCTCACTCATAATGCCAAGCTCTTACTCCCACCCACTCAGCTATTGTGTGAGAGTATGTATATATATATATATATATATATATATATATATATGTATGTATGTATGTATGAAATCAAGATGTTTTTGACTGAGTCCTTTCATTCAGGGTTACCTCTCATTAGCTCAGTTGCACAGAGTCAGAGCCCTTTCTTCAGCATCCTGTCCATACCAATTCTCTGCATACAAATTTTGTACATCCTTGTGCATGAGTTTTGCTGCAGGACTTTTCAGATGTCTTTAAATGAAAATTTCTGTATTCTTTATCTATTTGATTACTCCTTGGAGGCTCACTTTGATGTTTTCCTACACAGTTCTTCCACACAGGAATCTTTGCTCCTATACAAAATTTCTTTATCTCATTTAGGGAGAGATGTCCTCTCCTGCAGAGCATGCAAACCACAGCTCAGTAGGCAGAATCTCTTACAAAATTGTCTTATTGCTTGCACAATTCATTCTACACATACAGCAAGAATACGGTCCCCTATGTAAGTAGCAATCATCCACACTGCGTAGCAGCATGATGGCCCCCAAAGGGTTAGCCTGATCTAAGGACGCAGTTTTACCATCATCCCAGAACTGCTCAGCACTATTTGTGACTCTCACAACATACCATATGTTTTTAGCACTCATAAAGCAAACTCTGAACTGTAGTTAATTGCAGTTTAAAGCCTCTGTGACTTTCGAGTGTGTGACTGAAAGGTAATGATCAGATGTCTACATAATTGGAATATGCAAAGTATGGCAGCAAAAAAGAGAGAAACAATTTTCACAAAGCCATTCCCTAGATCTATGTCATTAAATGGGAATGAGTGTTCTTGTTCCTTTAGCCACGAGCATGATATGACTGCCTGGGCCTTCAGCAGCTATCATAGCTCTAATTATATTGTATAACATCACCACACTTCACTGAATGCTGTTTTGTAAACACCACATTCAGTATTTATTCGTTTCGTTATACAGGCTCCTTGTTACTTCTTCATAGCCGATTAATACCTGTATCGGTTCTCCTGATGCAGTTTCTCTCAGCTTGGTGTTTGCAGATGACCCCAGGCTGCACGTTAATTTGGGCAAACCTCTCTGAGGCTTGCTTCCCTTACAGAATAGTTTATTAACTCTTAGATTTTCAATGGCTACAGAAGTGATATGGGTCAATAGTACAGAACAATCTCATTAGCAGGCAAAACAAGTGGCTTTTCGTTGCCTTCTCTGCCCATCTTACATCTTTCGTACTGTAGCAGAAGACATGGCAGTGCAGGTGTGACCTCTTCATTACCTCAGATGTCCTGGAAAAGAAGGTAACCCTAGACAAGATTTAAGGAGTACAGATAAAAGCCCAGTTCTTGGAAGTAATGACTGGCCTGGGGTTGAGTAGCTCTGGATGTTTTCAAAGCACTTTTCATTAAATCATTTGATCCAGATACCCTTCAAATCCTGGAAACAAAATAAATCACCAAGTAGAAATCAAATCATTCCTGTCCAGGAAAGGGTAGATGTGAATAATTCGGTGGATTTGCATCAGAGGGCCAAATGGATGGGAGAAATGTTTTTCTAGTTTATATATAAATATATATATGCATAAGTATATATATTTATATACAATAAATCTTATTCACTCTCTTTGCCACAAATAGCTGGAGATGGAGAGAATTCATTATACTGTTCAACCAGCATTCGTAAGGTGTGTCCTCTTCCCTTTTGCCAGGTGGCATTAAGTAGTTTGAATGTGTTATTTCTAACTAAATGTTTAGAATCAAAGTTTTTACTATAATCAAATACTTTTTCTACATGGAATTCTACTCACCTTTCACTTCCAATACAAGTGGGTTCTACTGACTTAAACAGTACTTTTCTGAAAATGCTTCAGAGTCCAGCTTTGCCATTTCAAATGGTACAATTAAGTCCAACAGAAGAAATTCTGTGGCAGACTAAATTATTTATATCCTATGTCATCATTTCTCAAGTTACCACTTGCATTTTTTTCCTGAAATACATTTGGCCTAGCCAGTAAAAGTAACACTTGATACATGTTTGGCAGACAATAGACATTTCTTTAACGCTTCAATAAATATTTCATTTATTTATCAATATTCATCAATATTTCATACTTTCAGATCAAACCAATTGCTAGACTATTACTAAGCACTTTGAAAGTGCTGATTTCAAACTGCACTCTGTAGCAGTCTGTGTATCTCTTTCCTACAATTTCCTACCCTCAGCTGATCTTCCAGTGTGCAGTCCACATGTCCAAATGTCGTTTTGCTAATACCCTGAAAAAGGGATAACATCTTCCCAGGAGCAGCCAGGGATGAAACTGCAATCAAGCTGTTCCTGGGCTGCCTTCTTGATCTAAGTGAGGCATTTATCATCCTGAGCTGGGTGTCTCCTCTGAAGGCACGTCAGTGAAAAAGAGCTCTAAAACAACAAGACACCAGAGCTTGTTTTTGTCTGACACTATGCATTCCCTTCCTGGAAGCTTGCAGATTTTTTTACACAAGTCTGACTGTGAACACATCTGTAGGCTAAGTACTGATCATTAATGCAAAAGAAAACATACCGTTCACAGGAAATCAGGAATTTAATCTAAGCTGCACTGAAATGACAGTACCAGAAGGTGCTGTAACCATTCTCCACAAGTCACACGAAGATATGGTTAAACATCATACTTCTTAGAGCATATGATACTGCACTTCTCATACTAAACAGGTTTTGGGCTAATATTCAAGTATCCTTCTTCTTAGGATAGCAATAAATATTCTATCTATCTTGCCTAATTTCTCCAGCTACATTTATATGAGAGTTAAATCACTACTTACTAAGTCAGCAGTAACAAAAGCATATGAAGCTGTAGATTGAGGGTTTCCGGCTGATAAAACAGGATCTAACAATTTTCTCTCTGTTGCTCAAAACACAGCTCCTCAATCAAGCTGCAGAATGGAAGCTACAGGCCAAAATGTTAAAGGAACAGGAGACAGTCCTGCAGGCACAGGTGACGTAGGAGAGGTGATTGCATGGTGTGTCTTTGTTTGCCCATTTTTAGCCCATTACACATATTTTAGGTATTCAAATTATTTTTCGTGAATCCTTTCTAGCTTCGTTCTTCATCACACAAACTGCTGTGAAGCCAACACAGCGTCCCATACTGCATATCACACTATGGCATTTATGAGTGTCTGCAGTGCTAAACCACAAAACAGCATGAGTATCTTGGCTTGATTAATTAGCAGAAATATCCTGCATGCATGCCTCTAATCCAGCACAATGCTGAGGTACAAACATGAAACACATACACCAAATTTGAACTGATGTGCTATGCAGTTTTCTAGTCTGGGGTGTAACAACAGAGCTTTTATCAATTTTATCTTGATTTTTGCCAACTGAGGGCTTATACAAGGGACCTCTAGGATTCCAGTGTTTAGATTCTGAAATATTCTATAAAATAAAATGATTTCCCCAAATTATATTAAAAGTCAGGCTGTAGCAAAAGACAGTAAAACAAGAAACAGGCAATGGATAAAAAAGTTACCTCCTACGCTTTGAACGCAATGCAATAATCGACCTTAAATGCAAGTGAGAAATCTAAATGATATGACAGACTTTCATATCAAAAAGAGACAGCATCAGTAGATTTTCCTACACTTAAAAAACTAGCCATGTAAACTTATCTTCTTCCACTCGTCTGTGAGAATGGTCCCTCCCCACAGAATTTTAGGGCACTTGGTCCTGCAGCCATTCAGCTCCTCACCCATCAGCAGGGATATTCAGTGCCCTTGCTTATGGCTTGGCACACTACTAAGTTGTTCCAGTTCTGCTCTTGCAGACGATCCAACTCCTATCTGTTGAGCAGTCAAGAAGGGCTAGAGTTAAAATGACAACCTGGAGACATGGTAAGAGAGCTGCTGTCCTTCATAAGTTTTTTCCAAAGACTGAGATAAGCAGGTAGCACACTAAAGAACATCACCTGAACTGCTGTGGATACTTGTTTGACAGGTTCTGTGATCAAACCTCAAAGGCCTCCAGCTGAGTTAGTCCCAAATGCAGGTCAATTTTCTGAGTGGTTTTAGTTACACTTTTATGTTCAGCTAGCAAGAGTTTTGCATGCAGGCAGACCTCTATAGCCAGCGTAATGAAAGTGAAGGTACTGATAAGAACCAGAATATATTAAGCACACATTTGAAATGGAAAAAAATGGTTTTAGAGAAAATCCAGTCAAACAAGCCTGCAAAGGCACTGATAATACATATGCCCCTTGCAGACTTGCTTATATTAAAATTAAGGGGTTCACGTGCTGAAGTGAAACATGCAGTTAGTTGTTCTTCTGAAGTATGTGAGCTCTGGCACCTACACAGCAGCCTCCACTTGGAATTACTGAGAATAATAATAATAATTAGCACTGTTTCCAGTATGGTAGCATTGATGGATCTCCCTCATGGACCAGATGCCACCGTACAAGCACAAAACAGAAAGAGCATAAAAGCTCCCTGATGCATGAAATAACCAATAAATAATTGCAGGACAACTGCATGGACATTATGAGAACACACTGGTCAGTGAGACAAGGAGGAGCCATAATATAGTTCTTAACCAGAGGGCAGTTGGCATGTGGGCACAGCATACTGCTGGAGTTCAAGGAGTATTTGGACAGCACTCTCAGACATAGGGTTTGGATTTTGGGTGGTGCTGTGTGGAGCCAGGGGTTGGGCTCCGTGATTCTTACGGGACCCTTCCTACCCAGGATATTTTATGATTGTAAGAGAAGGTCTCAACCCAGGCTCTTGTGCCAGTCTCCTCACCTCGCAGCAGATGGCTCTATAGAGCCATCAGGTTGACTGAAAAAGCGCACTTGGCATCAGGGTCCCATCTATATGGTGGCACTTGGGCTGCTAAAGTAAAGCTTTCCAAGTTTCTGTTTGTGTATGAGTCACAGCCCTGGCTGCAGTCTAACATAAATACACAGGCGTATGCTGTTTGTCAACGAGCTCCAACATCAGCAGCCCAGAGCTCTGCAGGGATTAACCTGCCATGCATTTACCAGCTTGGCAGGGAAGGGCTGCAACCAGAGGTGCGTTCACAGCCACCAAGGCCCTAACTGCCTCATTTAAACTTAGCTTGGGCAAATCCACACTACACTGCAATTATGGCAATGACATATTCCCAGAGGCACCGTAACAGCTAATCAGAATGAAAATAAATCATAATATAACTATATCCAATTTGAAAATCAGGACTAAACCTACCCCATTATTAGTGACATTTTCTATATCCTCTTTCCCTCAGTGCAGCGTCAAGGGAAATGTGCACTGGCAGGCACCAGGGGAAATAAAAGCTCCTGGTTAATCATTTTTTCAGCTCCACACAGGTGTGGGAGAGGGCAGCTGGTCTCGTCAGCTGCTCAGAGCCTCTAACTCTTCTGCACCCACCATACAGCCTTCCAATTGCTCTAACAAGAGCTATCAGGCTGGGCTGATGAACTGTCAAACCATCTCAGCATTGTTGGGGTGCCCAGGGACCAAAAAACATCTGAGATTATTTCAGAACAGCTGATATCTGTACTTTATAGAGAGAGCATCCTTCATGGTTTTGGAAGCACTTTTCCCACCTGGTATGAGGGGAGGAAAAATAAATAAATAGATAAATAAAAGGAAAAGGAGAAACTGAGGGAATTTGATATAAAAACCAAACCTCGGATCTTTAGAACAGAGATTTTAAAAACATTCACAGATTTTATGTGGAAAAACAGGGAAATATGGCTTACAACAAAGTGCAGCCACAGATGAACATTCATGTGACTACCAGAGGTAAACTGATAGCAAAATACAAACCCTGCCTAGTCTTAAATTCTGGCATACTGCTAAAGATCTTTTTTCTGTTCTTCATGAAATGAAGTGAAGCTGGCAGAAGAGGATGACAGGAGATTATTTTCACTGTCCTTGCTGGCCTTGCCTCCAGCTGTAGAACACACAGGCTGCAAAATAGAGCTGACAGAGAGCCTACTCAACTCTCCTAAGCTACAGAACAGGGATGGATGCAGGTTGGCCTCATGCAGAGGCTGGGCTTTGCTCAGAAGCAGGGTGCTCCCATGTCAAATAACACAGGGAAAGAGTAGAGATGCTCCTATTCAGTGGTGGCATAAAGTGAAGCATGGAGTGTTGCCTGATGCTATGGACCCGAGCCACAGGGATGGGATTGCAATGATAGGAGAGGTGAAGTGGTTACAGTATGATGTGGTGATTGTAGAGTCATAGAATCAGTAAGATTGGAAAAGACTTCTAAGATCATCTAGACCGACTGTCAACTCATCACCACCATGCCCACTAAGCCATGTCTCTTAGTGCCACACCCACACGCCTCTTGAACACCTCCAGGGTTTTCACTATGCCTTTTCCCCAGGTCTCTCAGACTTCAGAAGCAAGGTAATGAGGAAAACACCTAGCTCTTATCCTGGCTTGCTGGGTATCTGATAAGCCAGGTGAACAGCTAGATGAATCAAGGCTTAGTGCTAGCTCAGACACAGTTCTGAATCTTACCTAGAGCTGACCCCATTGCCCAGTCCTACCCCACATCAGTGGTCATGCCAACTCAGGATAGTCCCTGCCACGCTCCAGTAGCCCAGTGCACTAACAGAGATGGCTCACTTAACCCATTACCACTTTCTGTTCCATAGGTTACCCTAAAGAAGTCAGCCTCTATTGTATACAGAGCTTGTGAAGAAAACAGGGGGCTGGAAATCTAGGCAGATTTTAATTCCGTCCTCCTGAAGCCTCTATGGAGTTACTTAGGGAGATGTTTCCACTAATCTTCCACTTCTAGAGAATTCTTTCATTTCTGGGCAACCAACACAGAGACATCCTAGCTGCAGCATTCATGAACTCAGCATCCATAATTCCCAGATCTTTTTAAAGGTCACCAGCCCAGGTCTTCCTATTCTTCATTTTATCTTTCTGCAACAAACAAATGATAATAGTTTGCAATCTTAAAAATATACACAGAATTTTAGGTCACTTATGTTGGTGCTTCATTAGTATCTGAACACATGTCCAAAAAAACCCCAACCTATTGTATTATCTTCTACTTAAGCAAGGTATTATCATTCAGTTCACTGCTCTGGAAACTCTGAAATCATTGTTTTTCTTTTTCTTGTTAATGTAGATCACTCTCTACTCTGAGAGATTTGAAGAATTTCAGAAAACATTGACAAAAAGCAATGAAGTGTTTGCTACCTTCAAACAGGAGATGGAGAAAGTAAGTAGCAGCTAACATCTGAACTCTGTTCTTGACACTTCCATTTTGATATGTCACAGTGCAGTAATTTTAACTGGGATTAGGACATTTCTGCATATTTTGGAGAACAGTTATGACTACAGACAGAGACCTGAGTGAAAGGGCTGTCCTAATTCCATCTGCAGTGTGGGACTGCTGTTGTGATTCAGCTTTTCTTCTTGATTTTATAGATGACAAAGAAAATGAAGAAGTTGGAAAAGGATACTGCTACATGGAAATCCAGGTTTGAGAACTGTAACAGAGCATTACTGGATATGATTGAAGAGGTGAGCGGGCTTTTTGATGCACCCCTTCCACCACATAAGAGTTTAAGTGGGAAATGCAATGAACTGTCAAAAGTAAAAAAAATATATACGTTGAATCTAAGGGTCATTTTTTTCAAGTTACCTTGGTTATTGGATCTTTTAAAAGAAAAAAAAAGACAAACATCACAAACATCACAACTACTGGGACTTTTAGACTATGCTGAAATATTCATTATGTCCACAACAAACTGAACTATGTAACTGTGAATTTGAAGTGCTCTAAAAATGCATGACAGTGAATGCTCTCACAGAGAAGCAAATTGGCATTAGTTCACTTTAAGATACTTTCTTTCTGCATAAGAGCATTCACTCAGAGTGTAAATGTGCTGTAGCAAATGAATTTTAAATTCACTCCTTTCGTTAACTTCTTGTGCAGGCAAACTCTAAGAGCCAAAAGCAAGCATTGTGTCTCACTATAGTTTTAACCACGATGTCAGAGAAACAGTGCAGAGGAAATTAGTAAGCATGTTGGAACTCATTCAGATAAGATAAGAGCCTGCCTGAAGTTTCAGCCCAGACTTACAATGAACTTGGACTGGGTCTTTCTGGCTAGTTTTGTAGTTCTGTCCATTTCTATGGATTTTGATATTTCTTGATTCCTCACTGGGTGTAGAAGCAAGAAAATGTTCAAAGTCAGGCAACTCTCACAGAATCTAGAAGGAAAGTTAAAAAAAAAAAAAAAGTAACAGAGATTTCCCCCCCCCCCCCCAAAAAAAAAACAAAACAAAAAACCCACACACAAAACAAACAAACAACCCACACACTCAGCCTCATTGAAACTGAGGTTGAGGTAGGATTTTGGATCCATTTCTGTATGAAGATACAGTATGTTCTTCTATCTCTACAGATTGTTGACAGGTGTTCCTGCAAATATTTCTTGGTGAAATCTTTATGGCCAATGTTAATGTAGTACAGAAACAAGGGCAAATTTCCTCTTGCAGCCTTGGTACCAAAGGTCATGGTAATCGCAGAGCAGTTTGAGAAAGCCAGACACCTTGCAGAGTCCTGTGAGGACTGCCTAGATCTCAAATTGTTTCCTAATTGCTAATTCCACAAATGAACTGCATGCACACAAACTCAGCCTGTGCCTTTGTCTAATGTCTCTGACCACAGAAAGCCATGAGGACCAAGGAATATGAGTGCTTTGTGTTGAAAATCCAGAGGCTAGAGAACCTTTGCCGAGCTCTGCAGGAAGAGAGGAATGAACTGTACAGAAAAATAAAACAAGCACAGCTCCCTGAAGAGGTGAATGGAAATGATATCTTAGAAGAAGACGACGATGACAATACAAACCCTTCCTCCAGTGAGCAGGCAAGCATTGAGCTGTGTGCTGCTGACAAGAACATGCTGCAGGAGCTAGCTGAAGCTTTCAGGGTGTCCCACTCAGCAGAGGAGAACTTTCCAAGCAACAGCAGCAATCCAGAGACATGCGATGTTCAAATGTGTAAAGCCATCTCTGTACCAGAACTCCCCTGTCATCTCACCTCACAGTCAGAGGCCGGGAACCACTGTGAGCAGTTCAGCATGAGCACATCAGGACCCCCTGAACACATGCCAGCATCCTCTGAAAATACAACAACACCCATCGAGAACATGCCAAAGCCCACCAAAAGCATGCCCATGCCCACAGAAATGGTGCCAACACCTACAGAAAGCGTGCCAATACCTACAGAAGGTGTGCCAACATCTCCCAAAATCATGCCAGCAACCCCTGAAGGTGTGCCAACACCTATGCAAAACACATCTGCTCCCGTTGGAAATATACCAGCATCCACCAACAGCACACCAAAAGCTGTAGAACACGTGGATGATATAGCAGAGCTGTTTGTCCAGGATCAGCCTGCAGAGCAAAAAGGGGATACAGATATGGAAGCAGTAGACTGAAGACAAAGAAGAGTTCAGGCTCATATTAAACAAACCACAGTTCTACTTCGTTTCTCAAATTCGTTTGTTTAAAAAAAAAGTGAGTGCTAAAACATATATAAAAATACATACTTGTAGACAAATATAATGCACTTCTCTTTGATACCACTATCCAGTTTTACTTGGTCTGCATGTTTTGCTGTCCTTCATGATTAAAGCATAATATTTTCTTAATGATAGGAAAATTCAACAAAATTACAGTATCTTTTTTCCCAGTCATGAGTCATCTCCTTCAACAAAATAATTTTGAAATGCTGAAGTTACATGTTTCAAAAATCATTGCTATTTTCATACATATACTTAAAGTCTCATAATTAATTATATCTGTTTGATATATTGCAATAAAGGATGGCCTACTTGGAAATGCAGAGATCTCAATAAATGAGAAAGGAGTGTGTGATTATAAAGTAAAATAGTGAAATAATCAGTGTGGTCAGCCATATCCAAAGTGAGCTGTAATAACAAAAGGTGATGTTGAATGAGTAGAGTAAACTACCACGGAGCACTATGTGGACTGAATACCCACCAACTTTTAGTCTTACTCTGAATTTGTCTTTTCTGCTTTGTACTTGACAAGAGGTTTTGTTTTCAACAGAACAATGGGAGAAGGGAGATCTTTTCTAGATTCCTCATAAAATGACTGAAAAGAACACTAATTCCTAAGCTGATGGTAATTCCCAAGGTAGGGATTACAAACTTCTTTCTGCATCTAAAATAAGCCCAATTGTTTGTCATACGATTTGGAAACATGATACCAATAGAGGGACTCCTGCCTGCTGTCAGCCAGCAAATGAGCTCAGAAGCCTGGAAGTTCAGAAGCTGGGTGCAGACTCCAGCACTTAAGCCAAGGCAAAAGGCAGAGACTACACCAGGAGATATCCCTGTGATGATGCTTCAGGATGCTGTGATCCCTCCCGGGCACAGCCACATAAACCTCTGTTCACTGAAGGTTCCTTCTGACTCTGTTGTACATGCTGAATCAACCAGGAGAAAGGCATGCACTTATCTGTCACCCTGTTCAAGTCAGCAGCCCAGAAGCAAATGCGCATCAGGAAAGCAGGAATCTCTGTTCTTTCTGGGGACCAGATGTATTTCTACTTCTCTTCTAAACAACTCTCCTATCTGCTTGTCAATACACCATTGCCTAGTAATTTCTCCCCCGTGTCGGAATTGCCAAACCAGAAGTACTGATTTTGACATCAAGAACAAGGATGAGGAAGGAAGCAGGTAAGGGTGTAGCTACCAAGACAGCTGTCAGGTCTCAAGCAAGGCGAGTAAGATGGCCCTAGGGAAGAACGCTGAAAAAAATCCTGTTGGCACATCTCCTGTTTTTCATCTTCTTCCTCTGAATGCAGTCTAAGTCTTCTGCATTGTGATCTGAATAGCGTAATAATCTGAAAAGGGCAGTAACAGGAGATATACAGATGCTGGAAAGCTAAATATTACAATCAAACAAACCCACGGCTAGAGAAAACTCGCAAGCAGCCCTGAAGGAGAATCTGATCATTTAAGCCAAAACTGAAATACAGTTGAATTAAGAGAAAAGATGCCAGCTTTGGCAGAATGTGGGCAACAGTGGTCACACATTCTTTCCTGCACGTCACCCTCCAAAAGTGAGGTTTGAATCTTTGCTTCCTGCTAGCATGTCAGCAACCTGGCTGAGTACATCTGCATCTGCACTGCTCATTCAGCCACTGAGAGCTAACTCAAATATACAGAGCACAATTTGCAAATGTTGGTTATTCAAATATAGATCAACAAGTAGCTATTAGAGCTACAGATTCCAAAGGTAGATGTCTTATATTAAGCTGACAGGACTTATTTCATGCCTTTAATCACCTGAAAGTGGATCATTTAAGTCTTAAGCTCTTTTTATAAGTAATAGAGATAATAGGCGTTTCTTGAGGACAAGTCATCCCCTGGTAAAACAGACATCCCAGACTGAAGAAGTCTTTCTCTTCTCTGATTCTGAATCAGCCCAAAATAACCATCTTAAATTTAAAATGACAAATATTAGGTGCCTATATTAGTTACGTAAGAGGAATCCCACCACACACTCAGAATCAAGGTCCTAAGCAAGTCAACCAAGGCACTCTGAAAACCAAGACACTTATGTGCCTGTGAAAACGTTAGCTTATAACAAAATTTTATCCTAAGAAAACAAGTTGTATTCACTGATTTACTTTTAGTTTATATTGCCTTGAGTCTGTAGAAATCTGGTTTCCATAACACGCTCTGTTTTTTTGTTTTTTTTTTTTAAGAGTGGTTTTAAAATTAATGTAATTTATATACCTTTTCTTCTCTTTCTTGATCTCATTTGATTCTGTTGTCAGTTTTGGAATTTCCTGCATGTAACCAACTCTTATTTTTTTAAAGTAGGCCTTTAGAATACCTTTAATTGTTGTGGTTGTCTCATACAGTCAAATATTCAATTACATAATGACAATGATTGACATGTCCTTGTAACTTGGTTCCATTTTGCATAAGCATTATGGTCACGTTTTCAGTTACATAACAGTTGCCTCATACCTTCCAACTTCAACAGGGAGACAAGGATCCTACAGATAAAAAGTTTCTACATAGTTATGATTGATTCCTACAGCCTCGTTCCTCATGAATAATTACACAACCTCCAGGGAAAGATCACTCCCACTCTATTTCTCCTTCCTCATTTTGGCCTTCTTTCATTTTCGCATCTAAAACTGCACTCACATTCTTGCAATTCTCATTACTCTAAGAACTTCTACCCACATGCCAGTTCCTTCTGCTCTTCCATGCTCTCTACCAACTTGCACTTCGTCCCAGCAGTTTCTTCCTCATTCTCAATGCTTACGTACAATGCTGAAAGCTTTTACTACGGACTTGGCCTCATGTGTTTGCAAGAGATGGAAGAACAAAAGCTTAGGGAAGATTCTGGCTGGCCCCAGACTGGATGGAGCATTTACAATCACACCATAGGGGTGACTTGCATGTAACCTCATGGTCTGTAGGAGGCAGCACCCTCAACAGAGGCAGAAAATCTAGAAAATTTAGTTGTGTACCCATTCACCATCCATAATGTCAGACTGGCAATTTAAGCTGACATTACCATTCCTGTGTTATTTAGTTTTCCCTCATTCATTTCACCATAAGCTGCTGGCCTCCTCTTGCTGTCTTCCAGTACTGGTGCCCTATGCAAAACTGCCCCTTCACATAGCAGTATCCTCATGAAAAGCCTTTGGGATTGCAATCCGCACAATTCAAGGCACTTGCCTCAGTTACCACTCAAGAGGCAGAAATCCAGCACCCTTCTGTGGTCACTGAAATGCAGTAAGCAGCAGAGATGCATGCTACTTCCCTGCAGTTCATCCTTACAACCAATCTGTTCCTGACATTGCCAGTCTCATCAGTCCATCTGCTATGGTTGCTCCTTCAGCCTTGCTTATATTTCATATACTTTTTTCCCATACCATAAGGCACAGATCTGGGGCGAGGAAAGGTGGCAATGGTAGCTGTATCCTTCTGTACTCTTATTAAAACCAATTCATTGCTGTATTGCTTCCAAACCAGCAACAGCCTTTGATTTGCAAAAGCTGCAAAAGAAGAAAACAAAATATGTGTTTTCCTGTTCTGCATGTCTGATCTTAGTCAACTCAAATATTTAACAACTCCCCTGCTGAACATGTAAAACAATCTTTTTCAGCAACCCATAATTTATCCACATCTGAGAGGATTTTCAGGATGACAGCTAAAATCACATCCATGACACTATCATGACACTCTCACCTAATTGCTGTGGCAAAACAAAGATATTTTTGCCATCTTGATACATCTTATCACAGAATCACAGAATCACCAAGGTTGGAGAAGACCTAAAAGATCACCCAGTCCAACCCTTCACCTATTCCCAATAGCTCCCACTAAACCATGTCCCTCAACACAACATCCAGCCTTTCCTTGAACACCCCCAGGGTCGGTGACTCCACCACCTCCCTGGGCAGTCCATTTCAGTGCCTGACCACCCTTTCTGAAAAGTAATACTTCCAAATGTCCAGATATTGGTGAGAGATTGGAAGGAAATGTTAAAGCCCACAAAAAAAGAGATTTTAGCTGTGGTCAGTGGAAAAGCTGATCTGTTTCAGCTTAACTTTTCCCACAAAAACAGAAAAGAGGTAGAAACAGGCACAGAAATACATAATCCAGGTGACACAACTTCAGCAACAGAACAGCACAAAAGAAGGACACCTATAATATGGTGAAGCATTTTTATAAGCTTTACTGCTAAAGTCAGCTTTAAGTCTCTTTATCAATCAGACTGTAACCAACCATGGATGATACTCTCACCAGCTCTCTTTGCTATGACCAGAGTTGTACTCATCAGTATGGAACCGAGACTTCTTTATTGGGGAATTACAATAGGACTTGCTTCGCTCTTGGGCCCACAAGATATCCCTGCATTGCCATTCCCTTCAACCATCAGCTGTGCTTAGCCAAAGGGCAATCACAAAGAGCAGACAAAGCATGAAGGAAGGCAAGGAAAAGGTGTGAGAAATGGCATTTGCAGTGTTTGTGAACTCCCCATCAACTGCTGGCACTAACACGGTTCACCACTCTGCAATGCTGTCTTTCCTATTGAGAAAAGGCTTTCCACATCCCTTTCAAAGATGAAGCAGGAGACATTGGTTGCGACCCCGCTGGCTCACAGCTTCACTTGAATGACAGCTGTGGCTGCCCAGCAGCCCCAGCCACTCATGGCACTCGACCCAACATGATGTGCCAAATTGTCATTGCTGGTAGGCTGCAGATGATCAAGCATGGCATAGGTCAGCTTGTTTCACAGGCACTGTGAAACAAGGCAGCAGGTCTTGCACTTCAGGACCTTGGGGGAGAAACAGCAGCAAAAGGGATAAAAAAAGAAAAGAGACAAGGAGGGAGAGGCTTAATTGCATGTCTGTCTCTGACAAAATTACTAGGATTCACCTTTGAGGTGCAGGTGAAGCACTTGCAA